ACAGCAATGTAATGTTTTTTGCAATATCCATCTGTATTTGCTGTCCTTGCACAGACAGTATACTGATAGGATGGTGGGGTGTAGCAGTGAGGGAAGTAAGCAAGCTTATCTTGAGCCGAGACATAGGTGTTTCATTTAAGGCTCCATCTTCAAGCTACTTTTTAGTAAAAACTATTAAAGAACTTACACTGGGGTTGGAATGAGTTGGGAGGGTAAAGGGTTTTGCTTTATGCTGCATCAAATCTACTTTCACTCTTTATCCTCCTTTGCCACCTGTGGTCTTCCAAGCCCCAGCCTTGAGCTCAGCTGTGGTGTCCCTGTGTCCTGCTGCTCCTGCCCTGGGACCTGGTTCACCCCAGCCGTGCCCAGGGGCTGTCGTGGATCCTGTCAGCAGCACCCAGCTCTGCTCCTCCAGCAGGACCCCCATCGGTGAGGGCACAACTGTGCTGAGGTCGCCCCTGCTCCCGGCTCGGCCTCTCGCGGGGCAGCCCGGCTCCTGCTACTCGCCGGCAGCGCGTGCACGGCTGGACGGCGCTTCGTCAGCTCGCTCCCATCTACGCGTTAAATCATTCTTCGTCTCTTGGACACTATTACGATCTCAGATACCTGAGTACTTTGGTGTCTTGCTTTTGCTCTTTAGGAGGACGTTATTTCGGCTTCTGCTCTTGAGGTTTCACTTTTGAATTAGCGCTGAGGGCAGGTACTGGTGATGTCTCGCTAAGCAGTGAGCAGTTAGATGGGCATGTGAATTGCTTGTACTTCTGCAAAGGTGCTTTTTTTCTGCTTTGATGCAGTGGTTTCAGGGTATGCAGTTGAGGGGCATTAGATTTTTTGTGTTTTATATGTGTGCAAAATATATATTCTATAGGCCTAGGGAAACTTCCATTCAGATGCATGTTTAAATTCCCAAGCTTACTCTATAACTAAAAACTTTGTTTTAATTCAGCGTGCTCATTAAAGTGAGTTTAACTGATAGCATGCAATTCATACGCAAATTCAGAGTATGGCAAGGGGAAGGAAGAATCCAAAATAATCAAACCTGGAACAAAAGGAAATAAAAAATAAAAGAAAATAGAGCTCAGTTTTAGTTTATTTTCATAAAAATAAATTCTTAATTAGAGGATGTCCCTTTAAAAAATGTCATATCTGTCTCTTTCACACCTGAAATACTTCTAGGAAAACGAATCCTTTATAAAAACAGAATGAGCACGTGCTTATGATGCAGTTTTAGGATGAGCTGTGTCTAGGCTAACTTTGATTTCCTTTTTTTTTTTTTTCCCCCCTTTTTCCTTCTGGTAAGCAAAAGTTTTCCATTTTGAGGGTGAGATTGTTGCGAACGCCTAGTTGCGAACGCTAGTTTCAGCTGACTTGGTTAGAAATGCTCTCCCTCCCTGGCAGCCCTTTAACCGGTAACGGTGACCCTCTGACCAAATAATCAGGAGGGTATTAAAAGTGAGCATTGTTGTATGGCTCTCTCTTTAAGGCCGCCCTGTAACTAGCTCGGACTCGGTGCGCGCGTGGCGCGGTGGCCCCAGGGGCTGGGAAGTGGCCGAGTCTGGTGTGCCGGGAGGGAGCAGGACGCCCCAGCAGTGGCCGGCAGCACGCTGCTGCCCAGGCTCGGCGGTCCCCGGTCTCGCTCGCGTCCTCCTGCTCTGGGTTTTTTCCACTGCCCCTGGACCACTCGATATAAGATTTGGCAGAATATTGCTCACTGCAAGAGCGTTTCCCCCTTCCTCTCCCAGACAGGAGCCCGGGCGAGGGCTGGAGTGGGCTTAGTGTCCATGGGTCGGTGTGGGTCCGGACCCTGGGGCAGCTGGGAGCCTGCTGGGTCCGCCTGGGACCCCTGTGGGGCCAGAGCACTGCATGCTACGAGAAAATAAAATTTTGAGCAAGGGGCCTGTTTTCCCTGGGTGTTTGAGGAAGAGGGAGACACGGCACAAATCCTGACTGGCACATGGAAACCTGGTCACGATAGGGATGACTATTTTCCATTGAGAAGGCACAGTTGTCTGTTGTTAGTGTTTCAAAGAGCTGTGGGTGTTTGTTAACTTAATTTAAGCAGCTGGTGAGCTCTTGGGAGGAGAGCTCTTCTCATGCGAAAATGCAACCCTCATTTGGAAGGATAAAAATCTATCTTGAGTCCTCCCCTTTTTAGAGAGGTCTAAAAAATACTGTGAGTAAAAATGGATGTTCCTGATGTTTTTAAGACTATACAACATAATGAAGCCAAAAACCTATTTGCTTTAAGGATCTGTAAGTGACCAGGGCTGTTGAGATCTTACTTAGGAAACTTTATTTAAATTTATGAAGTGTCAGGTTAACAGAAAACCAAAGCGTAAAGTTGGTCAAACATCCCAAAGACAGGTAAGCAGAGAAGTTAGATGTGTGCATTGAGGTGAAAGTTACTCGTTTGTTACGCTCTGGGCCAACCGGAACCAGTTCAGTCCATCCCAGCCTCACGCTTCCGATTCGTTCTTTATTGGAAACTAATCAAAGGGTGATATTTTTGTGTGAAAGAGGTGTCATCTGGCGTGAAATGAAAATTTAACCGAAACTGCGTTACACAAAGTGCATCTGTTAATCTGTTTGTAAGTTTGCTTCGTTAGGAAATGGTGCAAGCTGGTAGCCCTTTGCAGAATTGGGGAGAAACTGCTGTTACTTTTCTGCTTCTTGAAAAGCGGGGGAAATACTGGCCTTGTTTACCTAAGCAGATCGGTTGATATAATGCAGAATAATTTATTTGCAATTCATGTCCACGTTTCCATTAGAGTGAAAGTAGTGCATTTTATTCCAGATTAACATGTCCGCACACGAGCGTTTGGGGACAGTTTATCCTGCAATAGCTGTATCGTTCGCTTTTCCCAGTGAACAAGGCCAATAGCAATTGTTTGCTAACATTGATTTCATACAATTACTGTACAGGGGATGGCTTATCTCCCGCAAGGAAATGTGTATAGCTAACACTAATGCAAGATAAGGGTTTTAAAAATTGAATGGGCTAGCAAGAACTCTCCATGTGTCCTTCTTAAAATAATCTGCAAAGCCAGAGACTGAACAAAAATACTGCTCTTGATAAGACATAGTCCTCCACCCCTTCCTTGTTCGCAGCTTCCTTCCATTCTTCCCGCTTTTCAACTTCATGTTGTTGTTTTGGATAGGGTGGTAGGAAAGATGATTGTCAAATGGTTGACTAGGGGTTAAAGCTAGCCTGGCCTATGTTTTAATTCATGGAACTGCTGCCATTCTCCTGAGTGATCTTGGACAAGCTGGTTAATGTTTGTCTCAATTCCTCTTCTGTGAATCATAGATAATATGTCCCTCCCTCATCAGACTGTTGTGAGGATATATTCACTTATGTTTGATGGCTTCTGATATTACAATGATGCAGGGTATAAGAGTTCCTCGTGCAATCATGTGAAAATAATATATTGTTATGTCTGTACCCACAACAGTTAGAAATGGGAGGTGAAGCAACAGAAGCTAATTTGATAGGTTTGTTTGCACTTTGCTCAAATAGTATGTGTCCCTTTGCTCCAATTCTCTAAGCTTTTCTGTGGTACAGCTAGTAGACTGCCAGGGTAGTTGCACACCTAACCGTTGAAAAGTTGCTTGCGTTTTTCTGTGTATGTGGTTTTTTTATGTCTGGTGTTGCTTTAACCCCTTAACAAATGCCAAGGTGTACTGGCTTGGAAGATATACTTAATCAAATATGTGGTAGATATGTTTCTAGTGTAATGATAATCACTGTAGTCAACTGGGTTGCGTCTAATAATCACCATAGCAACTACATTCAGTAAAAACTGAGAATAACTGATTCATGCAGTTTTATGCCAAATGATACATGTGGGCAGTGTACTATCTATTTGAAATGTCACATTCAGCTAAATGATGCATACTCTGCTGGAAATGCTTTCCATTGCTTCTCTTGAGAAGAAAGAAAACAGGAGCTAGTTTTTGTCCTCAGTATTATTTGTTAAGAGAAATTGACTTTTGCTTTTAAATGCCAACCTTAGTGCCCTCTCCAACTCTTTCTCCAGAACATGTAAACAAAAAACCAGGAAGGCTTGGCAGTTTCCTTTTTCATTTCATTCTTCTCTCTATGTGGAAAGTGCACATTTTGAAATGGTTATGCTGGTGCCAATGCTTTATTTTGGTTTAGCTTGAACCTGCCCCTCGCTAAACTTAAAATATATGTGTGTGTGTGTGTATCTTTATTCTGCATCTCTGTTTCTTCTGTCTGCGTTGTATTTTGGCTTAAGTCACATGCGTCCCTCGTAAAATTTAAGAGCAGTAATTAGAAACAGTGTCTAGAATAAGTGTTCTCTTCCTCCCACGCGGTTTTACCCTCGTCTCTGACAGCTGTTATTGCAGTTATTCATTCTGCCTAAAAGGGTGAAATTCAGAACTGTTTTGGAGCTGGAAGTGAGCAAAATGTCAGAAATTGCTGCAGAGGAGCGTCTCTCTCATGCCTCAGATGCTTCTTGCCTTTCACATGCATACTTTGGGTTTGATTTTTCAGAGGTGCTGAGCACCTGCATTTCCTGCTGACTGCAGCCAGCCTTTCTTCTTTCAAAATCGCACCTCTTTTAAATGCCTCTATTTCTTAGCTTTTTAAGCTAGCTTTCAAAGCTGGCCTGAGGGCACCAAAACTTAACTTCAAGATTAAGTTATAGACCCCTGTGGTGGGGGTAATGGTGGGAGAGTTAGCACCTCTGGATGTGTGCCCTGTAGAGCTGCTGTTTGTTTTGAACTTCTCAAAGAATGGCTTTGCAATTAAATTCATGCTTTAAACTCAACACTGAACTAGAATTTTGAAAGAGCTGTTGTATAACTTTGTCTTTTGGGAGATACTGAAAGTGCCTTAGGATCTTGTGTGTGTGGAGGTGTTTGTTTTATGGGTTTAAATGTGATGCTTTTCCTTTCAGCTTTCTTCTTTTCCACTGATCTTTAGCATCATCTTATTTCACACTTCGCTCTACTTATTTGTATGTATTTTGCAGGAATCCCTTGAAGCTTGCCCTGGGAATGGACAGCTACCTCCGTTTCTGGAGGAGAGTAGAACCTAGTGAAGAAGCCTTCAAGGCAAGGCGACGAGTGCGCTGATACTCTCTGAAGAGCCAAGGGAAAGGGCGACCTTCCAGGCCAACAGCCATGCCTTTCGGGCTGAAGCTGCGACGGACCAGGCGCTACAACGTCTTGAGCAAGAACTGCTTTGTGACACGGATCCGTCTGCTGGACAGCAATGTGATCGAGTGCACCCTCTCTGTGGAGAGCACGGGGCAGGAGTGCTTGGAAGCTGTCGCTCAGAGGCTGGAATTACGAGAGGTAAGAGTAACTCGGGAAAGACCATCTGTCACTTTATAATTTGACACATTTTTAGCTCAGGCAGTCTGTTCATTTGAATTGTGTTATTCTTAGAGCTAGCCCGATACGATCAGCAGCTGGACCTTGGACAAACAGACTCTGGTTGCATGAAAACTGAGGACAGAGTGGCACTCGGGGTTTTGTGCTGTCGATCATTCATCCCCACTTTGAGGGCTTTTTGTAGTACAAAGAAGAGGTTTTCTTCTTTTCTTAGAAAAGCATGGCTGTTAACTTTTTGAGTTGAGGTGTCAGTGGGCCAACTTGCACCAATTTTTATCTGAGTGTAACCCTGATTTCGCTGACACTGTTAGCTGAATTATAGCAGTGCGAAGGAGACCACTGGCTTTCAAACATCTGCTTAGATGAAGTAAGTTCTTATTAGTATTCTGAAACAGGCAATTTCAGTAGTTGTGTTACTAGCCTCAGTGACTAGTAATAATTTGAGGATGGGGTTTCTTCCTTTTCTTCCTTTATTTTCTTCCTTTTGTTTAACTGAAATATTTGAATATTGTTCTTCCTTTTGTTTAACTGAAACATTTCACAACTGAAACTCTGGAGGGCTTCATTGCCAATACTTCCAAAAGGCTGCAGAGGCCCAGTCTTACCTTATTAAAGACCAAAAACCTTTATTTTCTGATTCTTTCTGTAGAGTTCTGTGGGCTTTTTAAGACGTGTCGAGGCCTTTTCAGAAATCTCTCCTGCAACTTCTGTGGCACAGATGAATTGTCTTTTCTTACTTACCTTCTGCAGGTGCCTTACACGGAGCCTGTATGCTCCTAGGCTTTTGCAAGTCATAGATTTGGAAAGCCGTTCCCTGGAAATTGCTGCTTGTCATCCTGCTGTCCTGGCTGATGCTTTCTGTAAGCACAGCTGGGAAATCTAATCATCTTGCAGTGTCTTATGTTTGTTGGTATAGGGCCCTTTGTAATGGTGACACCTGGAAGATAGCATACAAATAGCTGATGCAGATGAAAACTAAACAAAAGCTCATTTTTTTTGTGAGCTATCAGTGATGATAAGGAATGAGGAAGGAACCTCACTGTGTGTGTGCAGAATAGGCAGAGGAATGTGCAGGCAGTAATAGCGCAGAAAACCAGAATACTGGAAAGTGATTTTCATAGTTGTTTTTTTTAGCCTGTGGATTTTTTTTTCTTTTTTTCCTTCCCCTCTCTCCTTGTTGGTGATACGTTAGCCTGTCCTTACGAGGCTAGGTCTTTCCCTCCCACTGCAGAAATTAGTCCAGTTCTGGAATGATTGTTTTCGTACTCCTTGACAGCTTATCTGGTTGGCCCAGCAAAAGCGTGGTGCCTAGTGATTCTTTCTCTCAGGTCCACCTGCGTTTGGGAACAATAGCTCTGTCAGTGGGTTAGCTTTCTTTTCCACAAAGCGTTTTGTAATTTCAGAACTTGTTTTATTCCACTTTGGAAGAAAGCCCAAAGTTTCAAAATTTTCCAAAAAAAGAGATCAGACAGAGAAGTAGCAAAGGAAGTTATTTGGTCAGTGTTCAATTAGATGGAGGTTTTCTATTGTTTTGGGTTTTTTCCCTCACTTTACAGAGCTGTATGTCATGCAAAAAGAAATAAGTCAGCACAAAAAGTTTGCATTTCAAGATGAAAAATATTTTAACAACACAGAAGAGAATACTTTGATGTTGTTGGACCACTTTCCCCTTCTCTCATCACCCTCCCCACTTTTTTTCTAAACAAAGTTTTGGCAAAGCTGAACCAATTTTGTAAAGTTCAGATTTCAGCAGTACAGTATATTTTGGCAGAAGTCTGGGTTTTTTTGTTTTTTTTTTTCCCTCCCTGATTGATTCTACTAGCATGCATTGCTGCTTTAAATGTTTAGGAGAGAAGAGAACTACCTGGCTCTTCATCCTGGATAGGCTATCCCTGTACCCTGTTCAGCTTCTCTCATGAGGAGTAATTGAAACATGAGCCTAGAGGGGCCTGTGCCTGCACCAATTCTGTGTTGGCCTTTCTTCCTAATCCTAACTTCCACTCTTCAGCCACTTCTAGTCTTCTTTGCTGTAGTCTTCATGGTTTGCAGGGAAACAAAGCTAAGCAGTCATCCTGTGACTGTCCCCTTCCCTCGCTAGGCTTCCCATAATTTTTGAACTTGCTGCCAACTGATTAAATTTTACAGTAGGGTCAAAGATATTTTGATAAAGTTTAAACTTCTGCAAGATTTGTGCAACCTATGTATCTGGGTTGAGGAGAGAAACCCAGTAAGTGTACTAGTTGAATGGAGGAAAAAAAACTTTGTAAGAATCAATATTGGAGAGAGACTTTATGCATTTCCCAAATGCAGCAAAAAACTTCAGCTGGGAAGTGCCCTTTCTTAGCGGTCTGTGAGAGTCAACTATGATGGACAAGTCAGTTAAAAAATAAGTTTCATTAAGTCCTATGCTCACAAAACAGTTATTAAAATCCTGTTTCACTTTCCTGCATACAATCTTAAGTAAAAATGTTTGTTCTTTTAAAAATAAACCTCAATTTTTGCTGGATACTTTCATTTGTTCTCATGTTTAAATAAATTCCTGGTATGCTCCAACTTTCACCTTCATGTTAGGAATATACCCATGTTTCACTCAAATGGATAAACACGCAGAAACTTTCTAAAAACCCTGCTAAAAAACAAAACTGTTTGAGATGACTGTATGTATTGTTGTGAAGGACTGTCAATCATTATACCACACATGACTGAAAAACAGTATCTAATGGATTATGCATATTTCTATTTGATCTCTGGGGAATATAACTCCCTCCCTGACTGAGTCAGGGTTCAGGAATAGGTCAGTAGAAAGCGTAGCCATGTAACTACTGTAAAATCTGTTTTTATCCTTTCCAGCAAAGCTCTTGACGAAGCATCGGGTCTTCTAGTTAACAGTTACCAGTTCCAATGAAATGAACTCCTATGTTAGCATTATGTAAAAATGAAAAGGAGGAGCGGGGAAGGGAAGGGAAAAGAGAAGAAAAAGATGAGGTCAAAAAAGTCATTTATAATCCTATATGTATGTGCACGGATTAGAAGAAGGATTTTTTTCAATATGATGGGATTTTTTTCCCTTCAAATGGAGTAAGTGAACCTGCTCGAAATAACAGAGTAATTTGTACTAATTTGTTATGAGACTTCATACTTGTTTCTTCTTTTTTGTTGTCTTTTTATCGTTTTACAAAGTGAATTAAAGTTTAAAGAGTTTAGGGTGTTCTGATATATTTCAAATTTTTTTTGAGCGGGGAGATTGGACAAGAAGATCCTTTCCAGTCAGAATTATTCTATAAAGCTGCATATCTACGAATGGTCCCTCTGGTACTACGAAGTCCCACCAAAGCAGGCGGCTGGCAGGCCGAGCACTGCGGGTGCCTGCTCGCCCAGTGCTGTACCGGCGAGGCTGTTTGCTGCAGTTCTCTGACCTTTCCTCCTAGAAGGTGTCCCCTCCCGGTAGGGCACAACCGGAAACCTGTGTTCAGCACCGTGTTGCCTCGCGTTTGGTTTGGCTTGACTCATCTCACCAGCTAAGCTGGGACTGGGTCCAGGCAGTGCCTGGACAAGGGACCTTCTAGGAGCAACTGGCCGCCGTAAGTAGTGCCTTCCCCTCTGGGCTAGTGCGCCAGGATAGGGGTGTTTAATGCCTTTTTGCCCTGAGGAGTTGGAAGTCTGCCCTTTCTCAGAGATAAATGTTTAGTTGGCTGCTTAACCAGATGCCTTAAGAAACATTGAGCCTATCTCATTGGCTTCTTTTGAGTGAGATTTGCTAATTTAGCAAGTGTCTGTAGTCTTGCTGTTGTTGACAGTTCTACTGTTTTTGGCTGACATGCAAGAAAGAGTAGCTCTGGACTGGGGAAGATGGCTAAGACTGAGTACAAAATTACTACATTGCCTCCTGAACTTTCAGCTGTAATGTTCTTTTAAGAGTTTTCAGCACAGGTTTTGTTAGAGTATCTTTATCCAGTTTTATTTTCTGACTGACCATATTTCAAAGATCACCTTTCCCACATAGGGTCATTAGTCTGCACAGGTTCTCTGATGCCCATCTACTGCTTTAGCAGAGAACAAGCCGTTTCCCAGTAAGAGTACATAGTATTAAATATTGTGGCTTACAAAGTGATGTATGGCAAGTGAGACAATTTTAAAAAAAACTTGAGAGGAAATTCATATAAACTCTTTTCTTATAGAACTCTTTGTATATTTGCAAATTGGGCAGATGAAAAGCACTAGCAACTGAAGCTCTTTGTCCACAAAATGGACGTGCGTGCACATATTTAGTGTTATAAAAAGGTTTCCTTCAACATTATCACCAGAGTGTGTCAGCCCTGACTAGGAGAAGGATGCTTTTTATGAGGGAAGGCATCATTCATTTTCTGTGGTACTTTGACTGCTAGTCTATCTGTTAAAACAGCCAGGTGTAGCTATAGATATTTACTCTGTGAAAACTGGAATGAAGTCAGTGGTTTACTTTGTGCAGATGGCCAAACAGGCCAGCTTTGGGAGCAAATTAGTTTTGAGTCAACTGCTTATAGAGAAAAACATTCCATTTTTATATCCCATCACCTAATTCATGTTGTATCTGTACTGTAAAAACGTCTTGTGGAGTGGAACGTATGGCAACACACGACTCAGATGCTGTAAGCTCTTCTGGACTATTGTACCATACTGACCTTGATGATCCAGCCAATTTCAGTCCCGTGTTCCTTTGTTCCTGTTTGTGAATTACTCGTTTTTCTGGAGGAGAGAGTTTCTTCAGGCATTTACAGTAGCAATTATTTAAGTACTTTAGCATTGTGGAGCTATTTGAAAACCTTAGTGTTTTCAAGAAGTAGAATGCGCTGTGGCAGGGAGCTTGATACTCAGGTTGGTTGTCTCTTCCAAGTGCATTCATTTGTGACTTAATATTTCTGCTCTGCAGTCCATGTGCTTCATCTATAACGGCTCGATCTTCTCCAGGCTCCCTTCCTTTCCAGGAAAACGGTCGTCTTTTAGGCATGTGAAATGCGTGCTGCAATGGGTCAGCCCACTGCGTCTCCAGTAGGCTGGAAGCTTAGCTGCTATGTTCTGTTAGCTTCATATTCCTTGAAAGTGATTCACACAGTATCTGGGTTTTTTCCTGCATTTGGTACTTGAAGAGCTTTTCTACTGTAGCACATCTAAATTGCCGTGCTCCCTCCATCGCCTGTGGAGGGACCGTGCTCATTCGAGCTGTTTGGTTGCATTACCCTTAATCCATTGATTAACTAACTTAGACTTTAGACTGCAAATCATCTTAGTTGCTAGATGTTTTAAAAATACTTGACACTGAAAACTTAGATGCTTGGTGATGTGAATGTTTACTCTCTTCTTAGTAACGTGGAAGATCTGTTTTCACAGATCTGCGCTCTTTCTTGCGGAGGGTGAGCTGCCCAGCAGTGAATTTCAAGAGTTCATATATTAAAGGATTTCCCCTGTGAGATGGTGAAATCACTGTGCTTTTTCCTGCCCTCACATGCATTCCTTTCCTTTGCTGTCTCCACTCTCCCTCCCACCTTCATTTTAATCTAATTACTGTCACAATGAGCTAGTCAGACAGAAAGAACTTTTTTACGGCGCAGCCTACACAGAGAGCGTAGACATGTATCAGTGGATTGGTTAGTAAATTTTTGTTTATCCTATGGGAGAAATCGATTTCTTTATTCATTCCCTGGATGGATTGTTTTATTGAAGATGCCTTTAAATTCCAGAAGGAAATCCTGCGCTGATTTCCTTCAGAAGAGAAATGGGTTGTTTCACTGTACCAAACTAAAGGTGAAGAGAATGGACTAAGCAGGACTGAAGTTGTATTGCAGGCTTGTCAGGCTTCATTGATGAATCAACTTGAATTAGTTATCACCTTAGTTTAATGCAAGTCTGGACATTCCTTGAACTTTTGAAAATATGTGTGTAAAGAGTCCCTAAAGTAAATACACCTACAGTCTGGTTTGGAATTTTAGTGGATGATTCTTGCTTGCACGCTTTCAGCTGTAAAATGGTTAGCAGTGTTGCCCCTGCAGGTTTTTTGTCATTTCTGAGCATTTTATCTTTTCAAAATTGCATTAGCTGTCCTCGTGCCATATGCTAACTTGTAGTAGATGCAATGATTTTAAGATACGTATCCTCACCAGAGGGGACAGAGAACAACACAGAGAAAGGGAACAACAGAGAAACAGGCTGTTTCATGGTGGCTTTTGCGAGGTGTAATGGTCGCAGTTTGTCTGCTACTTTTGAAGATAAATTTTTTGGAAAGCATGAAAGCGTCTGGGAAATTCAGTTAGTGAAATCTTGGTGGTTGATTGCTAGGCCAAACTCTTTGAATGTTTTGGAAATCATTTCGAATGAAAGCTTTTTAACACAGCAAATAGGTTTTTTTTCTATTCTTTGTCTCTAGTATCACTGTTTAAAATGAGGTGCTATGGATAAAGAACTGTGACTATGGAATGATTGGTGTCCAAGTAAGTTATGCTATAACAACAAAATATATATTTTATTTGTTTTGTGGTTAGTATAAAGTAATGGAAACTAGTGGAAAGTTTCTGTTGAATAGGAAGTCAGTAGGATTGAACCCCAGGAATGTTTACTGAAAATAAAGAGAGAAAAATATGCAGAAATAGTAATGCTCTTACTTCCAGATTAGAAATCTGTTCATTCTCTGCTGAAGGTCCCCTCGTTGCTGCTGTTTGATTCATTTTGGTGTTATGACAGAGTACAATTTTATATTGAGGAAATATTGCCGGAAATCTCCAGATGCTGTCAGCTAAAACACTGCAGAATGAGGAGTAGGTGCAAACTTCTCAACTGAGGCTACCGTCAGATTTCCAGGCAGGAGAGGGATTAGTTCCTACATTGAACATGAAAACACTATTACTCCGTTTCTGTGGATCTGTAATTACACTACTTACTGTTAATTCTAAGATGCATTTGCCTGCAGTAATAGATTAGATGTTTAATACGGTAATTTAAGGGCTTCTTGCTAGAATCCTTCATGACAGGTTTGGATATTCCTTCAGCTGTTTATTACCAGCTTCTAATATTTAAGGTCCTTGTTCTAACTACTGTTCCTTGCAGCTACCTTTCCAGCAGCAACAGTCCCCCTGTGCTTACAGGAGCTACTGTAGCCATTGAGATTCAAACAGCTTGGGAAACAACTGAAGTTTTCTTTTATTCTGTAAGAGATTAGAACAAACAACTTGTGCTTGTAATGCAAATATTAAGTGTAATACTTAATAAGTCATAAAGCCTTGTGAATACATTTTTAAGCATAATCATGTTTTGTATGGGGGAAATGGTTCTGATATTAGTAGATATATTTCAACATATTTATGTGGATCTGCATTCTTGTAATAGCTGGAAGAATCATATTGCCCTTTGCACGCAGTGGGCCTGATCCAAAGTCTCATGAGCCTCTGTGCTCTAATCCAGGCTTAGGGTTTGCTGTCTGTTCACAAGGCACAGACATAAACATATCATCACATATGATTACATAACATGTTAAATAAAAAAAGTGAAAAGAGCCAGACATTCCAGGGGTTTAAATTCTTTTCTGTAGGACGTTTGTGTCACCTGTGCCATAATCCCAAAGAGACCCCTCTAACGTGCTTTTGGGAGAGAGTAAGAGGAGGGTTGATAGCACTCCATGAAGTGTATTGTAGTGCAATATTAATTTGTCATTGTCTTCAAAATAGTCCTAAAAAGCAAAAAAGGCAGTAAAAAAATTACTCTGCATACGAGAATGGAAAAATTGACACAATGCCATCTGTTCTTATTTGCATTCAAGTCATTGGTTGTGTGGGTGGTCTTGCTGAAGAGGATGAACTGACACATTTTGCTTCTTTATCTAGACGCACTACTTTGGCCTTTGGTTTCTCAGCAAGAGCCAGCAAGCCCGATGGGTGGAACTGGAAAAACCTCTGAAGAAGCAGCTGGACAAATTTGCCAATGAGCCTTTGCTTTTCTTTGGGGTAATGTTCTATGTGCCCAGTGTTTCCCGACTGCAGCAGGAGGTAACAAGGTATGTGGATTCCCTCTCTTCACACCCATGTGATATAGCTGGCAAGGAATGGACAATTACTCTGTTTTTGGAGTTCAGTATTTGTTCAGGTATCATCGCGTTCTTTAATTTCCTGTCTGTTGTCCAAATGGGAAAAATTGAGAGAAGTCACCACTTGACTGTATCTGTTTGGAAAAAGTAGAAATATTGGGGAATGATTACACATAGCCATCTGCAGAAATAAAAGGGAATAGTAGATACAGGTTTAAAAATCTGAAATAAACTAAAACTGTATACAGAGGTCATCTGTCTATAGTTTTAATTAGGAGAAGGTTATAGAAAAAGAGTATGGTCACCATCGTCCATTTTTAATTTTATTATTTTTATGTCTACTTCTGTTTTGCTGAAAGTAGACTTTGGAGCTTTTTCTGGTTTTTGCCCATGCCATCCCTGTTTCCCCCCCCTCATAGTTCACAAACAGATTTAAATTGTTAGCCGGTATTTGTTTTTTAATTATAATCTGGGTGCACCTTCACAAACAACTTCTGTAGGAATTGGTCTTTTATTCAGGGCACTGTGCTGCAGCTGTAACAATATAAGTGTTTTGAGGGGCTGTTCTGTAAACCACATCAGTGTAGTTTGTGTGCTTCTGTGTTTTAGTTTAAAAAAAAAAAAAAAAAAAAAAACAAGAAAAAGCCCACCTCACCCGAAAAGGGGTGAGCCTGCCTTCTTTTTAACCAAAATTATTTCATTTATCTGGTTTAGAGCAAAGTTGCATCAGCACAACTGTAAACTGGAGCCTGGAGCAAGCGGGTGGGGGATGCAGGATGGCAGAAGCCTCCTAAACCAATCTCGTCACTGGAAAAAAAAATTCTGTTGCGGCAAACCTGAAATTCACCACTTGGTCATCCTACTTGAAAATGGTATATAAATAGCTGAGAAAAAGTGGCTTGATTCTAGAAAGTGCAAGATGTGAAGCACTGCCGTTTTTGCACATTGTATATTTTAAATGATCTGTTTTAAGAATGAACTGGGGAAATACTTTTGATAGGATGTGAAAGATTTTGATTTTTAAAATGACAGCTGTCAAGTAGTCCTGTGACCACTGAATATATGTAGTGTCCATGTCAAACGGTGGGCTGAAAGTGTAGCAAAACTTACGTGTCCCTGGGAACAGACTTGAGAATGAAGGCTGACTCTTGTCTGTTCCACTCTGCTCCCATTCTGTAAGCCTTGGGAGAGGGAAGCCTTGTACTTGTGCTTCAGAATTAATTAATGTGCAGTGGGAACGTCTGAAACTTTCTGTTCTTCTCTTTTGCCAACCCAATCCTGGTCTAATTGTCTGCAAGGAAGAATGACAGCCACTTGGATGCTATTATCTCTTTGAGCTGCAGCCTGCCGTGCTGATTGCTCATTCTTAGCTTACCTGCAGAGGTATGCTTGCACATTTTGCCTTGGTTGGTAATAAGAAGACATGTTGGTGACTATTGAACTTCACAGCGCTCTGAATTTGAGTGGCTGCTGATTTTTTTTTTTCCCACTTCTGATATGTTTGCTAATATTAGCTGCAGAGTCTTATAAGTGTCTCTTAGATTTCTTTGAATGTCTATAGCAAAAACAGCAGCTTACTAAGGGACCTGATACAGAATAGGCAGCTAAGATTTTTTTTGTCTCTTGAATCAGAATTGCTTCGCTCTGGATCGTGTGATGACAGCAAACATTCAACTGTGCAATTCTAGGTAGATGCAGTAAGTCTCATGCTCAAAATGATGAGCGGTGGGGATGCGGAGAATTCCTCTTCTAAAACAAATGGTGGAGGGAGCCTTAGTCTGAAGTATGATTAGGTGGACAGAGAGGGTTAGCTTTTTAGGTTTTTTTCGTTTTGTTTGCTCTTGGTAAACTAACTAACCATTTGTTTTGAAACGGAGACCAACTGTTTTTAGGATTAGGCTTGATCATGATAGTAAGGTACGAACTACGCTCACCCGGTCAGTTCCTATGCGTTTGACTTTTCTGTTATATACGTGACAAATCTTCCTTGAACACAAAACTTCTGACCAAGCACTTCATCACCTTCTAGAAAGCTGCAGAACTACCACAAACAAATAAACGCAACCCCGAAACAAAACGCAAGCCCAAAGCAAAACATCAGCAAAAGCCGGATCTGCAGCGATAGTGACAGAGCACTGCTAGTGGTGAACTCGTTACCTGTGGAATCTCCTCGTGGTGGAAACATCGCCAGTCCTGAGCTTGCTTGGCCATGTTTGAAGCCCGAGGTGAAATCCATCTCTCAGCCCGAGTTTTCAGTTAATTGCAGGCTCCAGAATTTCCATCGTTGATCAGTCTTCCTAGATAGTGATAGTCCTCTTTCTGCTCTACTGCTTTTATTGTCTTGGCCCTATGTCCCTATTCGTACATACCTCCTGATCCTACTCTGTCTCCTCCAAGCTCCTGGTGCCTCCAGCATCTCCGCCACCTCCAGTCGCCGTGTTATAGCTGCACCCAGTCCCACAGATATCTTCCAGTGAAAGTTATGAATTGTAGCCCCATGATCATTTTCTAAGGCAAAAGCAGTAGTTTCAGCATTTTATAATTCCTATAATTTGAAACATTCTAGAAGAATTTGTGCATAGAGCAAAAGAAAAGAAAAAAGTCTCTACCCTTGATGGCAGCTACAGCAGAAGCCATTTGGGTGGGATATGGGGGTTGGCACATTAGCAAAAGGAATTTTTCATGGAAGGCTCTACAGGCTAGTTAGAAAAACTCTTTTTAGTCATCCAGCTGTTCTCAGAGTGAGCAGTCTTCACAGGTGGAGATGCTGTGCCTGCTTTTGGCATATTAAAACATTTCAGATTTGCATACTGTCTGATATAAAGCAGTCTTTGTGATGCCCTGTAGAATAGATATTTGCATAGATTAGAAATATAAATCTGCCTTTTATTTTCGGCTAACTCCTCAGAGGAGGCATCCTTTCAACCATTTATGTTTTTAAAAAAGTAAGTCTTTGTACAGTGTCTAGAGTAAACAAACTTGCTTTCACTGTGCTCTTGTTCCAAAAACAGAAAACCCACACGCTCTTGTGGCTTTTTGAAAATGTGGGTGCAACTCTGCTTTCTGCACAAGTATCAGACAATCCATGTCCTTTTTTTTTTTTTTTCTTTTTCTTTTAACAGTTCCAAGAAATGACTAAAGTGACAGCTTAGTCCCCACAGTAGAAAAATGAGGGTTTGTTTTGGTCTGCTTTCCTTTCTTGGAAGAAGCTTTCAGTATCTTATCCTATGCTAGTAATATCTGATGGGGATGGTGCTGTTGCAGTTTAGGGCATAATACTGCAAAATGATGAACGGTTTCTAGTCTGGGTGATTTCAGTGCAATTGGGTATGTTTGTTACTTCACATGGTAGATTTGGTACGCTGGTGGGAGTAGTATTCCAGCGTTTGCACTGTGCTACGTTGGGCACAATCTTCAACTGAGTTCAACTGTCAGCTCTGCATTTTTCTTGGAGAATGCACTGCATGGCTTTTCTGTGAAAGAAAACACTGAAGGACTGTATTTGGAACAGGATGACTGCACCTGCAAAGGGTGGGAATGGATGTGTTTGCAGGTGGAAAATTAGTGTCTGTGGCTGCCAGGCCTGTTTTTGGAGGGCCTGTGAAAAATCAACCTTGAACATATCCTCCTTTACCTGAATGAATATGCACTTATGTTTTGCCGCCTTATCCTGTTCTGTACTATTTCTTGTAGCTGTTTTTTCTGTTTATCTTTTAAGCAAATATTTCTTCTTCACAATCCCCACTTTCCCTTTCTTTATTTTTCTTCAAGTGTTAGGGGAAGAATTTTTAAACAGATGTTCTTTTAAAATATACATAGCAACAGACTATTATGACTGTATGAGTTTTTTAATCACTTGAGAATAAAGTAAAGGGGAAAATTCTGCTGCATATTTACAGGGAAAAATATTCTGGCAAATCCACTTGCTTTTAAACTCTGGTCGTCTTTTCCTTCCCTTCTGTCTTCAAGGTTTGTTTTTTTTTTTTTTTTAAACTCCTCTCAAAAAATTCTTTCTTAAATGTTTCACCTACTGATCTGTACTTTGAGTCTATTTTTGTTTTACTTTGAATAAGCTAAAGTTTCATATCCTCATATGTTGCTAACTTTTAATACAAGTACAGTCAGATAGGTTTTTTGCACTAGTCACTGCAGTGCTTTTAATTGCACTGTTAAGGTTGGATAACATATCCTCCTATTCCAGTCTGGTTTTGTGGCAAGCTTAGTGATGTGGAACTCTTTTGACTGTTAAGGTGGTAGGGTACGTCAGACCACTTTGCTTTTTATGCTTGGTCACACCTTCAGCTTGTGGCCGCCTGAGGAGTGCGTGTGTGTGTGTGTGTACCTTAGAGCTCAGAGTAGCTGATTTGAGCACTACGGCAACTTCATTGTCAAAAATTGGTATTTAGTATATCATAATATGTTAGAAAAACAGCAGGATGTGTATCACGTGATTTGCTCTGGACAACCGCGACTGTGCTTGCCTCAAGTGATGGGGTGTGACATGTTGTGTGGCAATACTTGTTAATACACGTTTCTGGTAGCACTTAGGATTTTTTAATAATACTCATTCTTAAAAGTTCAGCAACGTTTTTGAAAGATTCTATTAAAATATAGAGCAATACCATGGAAGGTGGGAGGAGAAAACAGGCGTGTTTAAGTTGGATGGGTAGGCAAATGAATGAGAAGTAGGGATTGTGCAGCAAATAGGAAGCTTGAGTGCCTAAAAACAAAAGACCTGAATCTGATCTTTCACACCTGGAGATTTAAGTCTGGATTTAACCCTTCATTCCGCATTACTGGTGTAACTGAGCTGAAAAGTCTGCTCTTAAAGTGTGATTTTGAAACAGTGGAAGCCTTACCACCTTGTCCAAATCCACCTCTTCCCAGGAACCTTTGCCATTTCATGTTTGCTGCATGCTTCTTCCCCAGCAAGTGTTTCAAGACTACGCCTGCTCTCTTGGAAAGACGGT